GTCAATCCATCATGTCCAGGGTCTCCCTCTCCTAAGCTGTCCCTTCACCCTTCCAAACATGATGTCCTTCTCCAAGGACTGGTCCCTCCTGGCAACATGTCCAAAGTATATCAGATGGAGCTTCAAAATCCTTGCCTCCATAGAGCAACTTAGTTTCACCCTCTCCAGTACAGATCTGGTTTTGCCCTTGGTAGTCCATGCTATGTTCAAGACCCTTCCTAGTACCACAACTCAAAGGTATCAATTCTTCTTCTGTCATCCTTAGTCATTGTCCAGCTCTCTGATGCATAGCAAGTAATTGCAAAGACCATGGCCTGGATTAGGGGCACCCCTCAATCTTTATCTATCATGGTGCTGCCAACAGGTGCAAAGAAACTTTGTTTTCTTGATATTGACCTTTAGTCCATATTGAAGATTACACTCCTTGACATTCTACAGAAAACACTTCAGGTCCTCCTCAGTTTCAGCAAGCAAGGTTATATCATCTGCATAATATAAGTAGTTGATGAGTCTTCCTCCAATTTTGATGTCACATTCCTCCTCATAAAGCCTAGGCTCCTGAATGATTTGTTCCACATATAGATTGAAAAGTTATAGATATTGGACACATCTTTGATGTACACCTTTCCTTTCCAGATTTGAATCATGCAATATTTGGTTGCCCTGTTCTGACTGCTTCCTGGTCCAAGCATTCTCATTCTTCTCAATGTTAGCCACAATTTGTTGTGATCTACAAAGTCAATTGCCTTTGCATAATAAATGACATACAAATAGACATTCCTCTAGTATTCCCTACTTTCAGCCAAGATCCATCTGACAGTAGTTATAATGTTCCTACTGTGACATCCCTCATTCGACATCCTCTTTTAAACCCAGCTGGAATTTTCTAACTGTTGTTGTTGTTGTTGTTATGTGCCATCGAGTCGCCTGCGACTCATAGCGACCCTATGTACAACAGCCCTAAACTCCGCTCTGTCCTGTGCCAATCGCACTGTCTCTGACACTCCCATCCCAATT